TACGGACTGTATGGGATCCCATACGGATCCTATACGGACTGTATGGGATCCCATACGGATCCTATACGGACTGTATGGGATCCCATACGGATCCTATACGGATTGTATGGGATCCCCTACGGATCCTATATAGACTGTATGGGATCCCCTACGGATCCTATACGGACTGTATGGGATCCCCTACGGATCCTATACGGACTGTATGGGATCCCTTACGGATCCTAGACGGACTGTATGGGATCCCCTACGGATCCTATCCAGACTGTATAGGATCCCATACGGCGTCTATACGGTCTGTATGGGATCCCATACGGATCCTATACGGACTGTATGGGATCCCATACGGATCCTAGACGGACTGTATGGGATCCCCTACGGATCCTATCCAGACTGTATAGGATCCCATACGGCGTCTATACGGACTGTACGGGATCCCATACGGATCCTATACGGACTGTATGGGGTCCCCTGCGGATCCTATACGAACTGTATGGGATCCCATACGGATCCTATACGGACTGTATGGGATCCCTTACGGATCCTAGACGGACTGTATGGGATCCCCTACGGGTCCTATACGGACTGTATGGGATCCCCTACGGATCCTATACGGAGTGTATGGGATCCCATACAGATCCTATACGGACTGTATGGGATCCCTTACGGATCCTAGACGGATTGTTCTCGCTTGGGTTCCCGATGGGGCGCTCTGGAGGGTCTGGGGGGAGGCGCCGTGAGAGGCGGGGCCCGAAGCCTCTAGAGGCTCGTCCTCCTCCTCCTCCTCCTCCTCCTCTACATCCTCCTCGTCCTCCTCCCCTTCCCCCTTCCCCCCATCCCCCTCCTCCTCCTCCTCCCCCTCCTCCTCCTCCTCCTCCTCCTCCTCCTCCTCCTCCTCCTCCTCCTCCTCCTCCCCCTCCGACGACAACGACGAACAATGCACACGCCCAAGCGATAACGAGGACCGCTGTCCCAGGTCCCCAGGGTCCGAGCCACGCCTGGGAGCCGGCTAACCACGAAAATAACCTCGAATGTTGATATCGCAAGAAGCGGTACGCGCAGGAGCAGAAAGAAGAAGAGATGGACCCCTGTAGGGGTCCCATGGGAACCTATGGAATCCTATGCGTGTCCTATGGGAATCCTATGGAAACCTGTCGGGGTCCTATGGGAGTCCGATGAAACCCTGTAGGGGTCCTAAGGGAGTCCTATGAAACCCTGTAGGCGTCCGATGGGAGTCCTATGGAACCCTGTAGGGGTCCCATGGGAGTTTTAAGGAACCCTGTCTGGGTCGTATGGGAGTCCTATGAAGCCCTGTAGGGGTCCTATGGGCCTCCCATGGAACCCTGTAGGGGTCCTATAGGAGTCCGATGGAACCCTGTACGGGTCCTATGGGCACCCGATGGATCCCTGTAGGGGTCCTATGGGAGTCCGATGGAACCCTGTACGGGTCCTATGAGAATCCGATGGAACCCTGCAGGGGTCGTATGGGAGTCCGATGGAACCCTGTACGGGTCCTATGGGGGTCCCATGGAACCCTGTCCGGGTCCTATGGGAACCCGATGGAACCCTGTCCGGGTCCTATGGGAACCCGATGGATCCCTGTAGGGGTCCTATGGGAGTCCTATGAAGCCCTGTAGGGGTCCTATGGGAGTCCTATGGAACCCTGTCGGGGTTCCATGGGAGTCTTCAGGAACCCTGTCTGGGTCGTATGGGAGTCCTATGAAACCCTGTAGGGGTCCTATGGGAGTCCCATGGAACCCTGTAGGGGTCCTATAGGAGTCCAATGGAACCCTACACGGGTCCTATGGGAATCCGATGGAACCCTGTAGGGGTCCTATGGGGGTCCGATCCAACCCTGTGCGGCTCCTACAAAAGTCCAATGGAACCCTGTACGGGTCCTATAGGAATCATATGGAACCGTGTAGGGGTCCTATAGGAATCCTATGGAACCCTGTAGGGGTCCTGTGGGAGCCCTATAGAACCCTGTACGGGTCCCTGTACGCCCCGCGGGGGGGCGCGCGGGGAGAGCGTTGCGTTGCGTTGCGCTGCGTTGCGCGGGGGGGGGGGGGGGGGGGGGGGGGGAGCCCGCCGGTCCGCCAGCTAGTGGTTTCGTCCACACAACAACAACAACAACCACAACAATACAACAACAACACCAACAACAACAACAACAACAACAACAACAACAACAAAACCAACAACAACAAAAACAACAACAACAACAACAACAACAACAACAACAACAACAACAACAACAACAACAACAACAACAACAACAACAACAACAACAACAACAACAAAAATACCGATCCAGGCGCGTGAAGCAAGCTAGGATCTGGGAGTCCAGAAATACCTACTTCGAACCCGGCGCGAACAGTCAACCAGGCCAGTCGTTGAAAGTCCGCATGCGAGCGTCTTGCATGCCCGAGAAGAAGCTTTTCGAGTCGAAGTTTTTCGAGCGGGGCTGGCCATCGCAAGGTAAGGGTGTAAGGGTGGACCGAGGAGGCAAGGATGCAAGGGTACCCTTCGGAAGGTTACCCATCCTTACTATCAGTTTCGACTGTAGGGCGCAACTCCCTGGTCAAAACACGACTCGGGATGAGAAGCGCCCCGAAGAAGGGGTCCTGACTTCCTCCTCCTTCTCCTTCTCCTCCTCCTCCTCAGGTGAAGGGTCGCAGGTGCACGATCGAGCTACTAAAACAAGGAAGGCGAGAAATAGGGAACTGCACCCCGTGTTTGCCCCAAAACGTCTGGGTGCACGGGGAGCGCCAGAGGGGCATGGCGAGCTGCTCCCAAACCCGAACTGCTCCCTGCGTGAGCGCCCTCTGACTGCACACGCATCCGCGACCCCAATGAGAGGGATGGGAGCCGGAGGAGCACAGCGAGCTGCTCCCGAACCCGAACTGCTCCCTGCCTCAGCGCCTCTGACTGCACATGGATCTGCGACCCCGGTGAGAGGGAGGGGAGGCCAGGGCAGAGGCTGGCGGAGGGGGCAGGGGCCAGGCCGAGCTCTGGGCTCAAGTCGGGCCTGTCCCCCTACAGGGGGGTTTTCGAAGAAAGATAAAAAATAACCCGAACATACCCCAGAAAGGCCAAAACATAGTCCAAAAATAATCCCCAAACAATTGTTGGACTATTTGTTTACTATTTTTCTGGTATGTTTGTTCGTCGAAAACCCCCCTGTAGGGGGACAGGCCCGACTTAAGGGGAGGGGGAGGCAGCAGGGCGCCCACGGCGCGCACCCCGCTCCGGCTCCTGGCCAGGCCGATGCCTGGGCCCCGGGCCGGGCTCGGCGCAGCCAGCGGAGGCCAGCCCACGGAAAAAACCTCCCACGAGGAGCCCAACCCTGAGACCACGGGGCGCCCACTGCTTCTTGGCGTGGGAACGTCACGCCTTTCATAGCAGAACCATCGAGACACAAGAAAGCCCAAGGTAGCCCTGGAGGCAAGCAGGGTGTTTCTTGGCATGGGCCCCCACAGTACGCCCTCGTGGCTTGGCCAGGGACAGGGGGAGATACAACCGCATCACTAGCAATGCTTCGAAGGTCCGCGCGGAGTCCTTGGCTCGGCGCTGGACCCTCCTCGGAGTCGGCCCTGGAGGGGCCCATTGAAAAAGCAGATGCTGCACCATGTTTTGCGGATTCTCGCCCCTTCTGCCTTGAGAATATCCAAGACGGCCCGAGAGGCCCCAGAGACTGGCCCACGACGGCCCAAGAGGACCCTAAGACGGCCCACTCGAGATGGCCCCGTGAGGGCCCCAGGACGGGCCAGAGGGGCCCCTAAGGAGGCCTCCGCGAGGGCGCCACCCGGCCAAGGGTGGCCTTCCGAGACGCCCCCCGGGGACCCCGAGATGGCCTAAGGAGCCCAAGGAGGCCACCAGCCCTAGTGATTAACCAAAAAAGGATCCCTTAACCTTTGGGGAGGGGGCCAAAGTCAGGAGGGCCAAGAACCTCAGGGATCGGGAGTCTTTTCCTGCAGGTGTACCAGACCAAAAACAACCCTGAAGTATTACCCCTATTGCGAAGACGAGTACCTCAGTGAGGCCATGTCTTCATCGTGTTATTAGGGTTAGGGGTTGAAGGTCGCTTGGGGGTAGCGATCCCCGTACGCTCGCCGGGCGCGCTTGATCGGTCAACAGCAATCATTACAGCCGCACTTCGCGAGAAGCTCTGATCTCAGGTTTACTCGTGCCGACGATTGGGCTGCTCAGGCTTGCTCTTGACCTACAAAAGCGCTGCCCTCTCCCCCGTCGCCCCAGAAGCACAGATCGCGTTCGCTGCCCCTCAGCGAGCTTCAAGTTAGGGGTTCTTTGTGCTCGATGACCCAGGGAGCCCATCCCCACTGGTTCCCCACCAGCTGGGGGAGCACGCAGTCAACTGGCGTAGCAGCACGTTCACTCGGCATCTCACGACGCCGGGGTTTCTAGAAGGCAGGGGATGACAGTGACTCACCGAAGGCGTCTTCCATTCCCACACGACCTCCGCACAATTCATGCCCACCCCCACTCAACGCGGCCGACCTGTAGAAGAAGGCAGCGACGTGCACACAAAGAAGAAAGGAGACTGGCAAACTCAGACGGATAGAGACAGAGAGGACGCAGAAATCGCACCGCGAAGTCAAAATCTAAGTCTAGGTCCAAGCTTCAGTATAAGAGCGAGGCCGCCTGCTCGCGAGAGGCGAAAACAACCTATGCAAATGCTTGCAGCGAAAGCGTGGCCCTCGGATCCTCGACTGCGAGCCGCAAGATGTGTGGAGCTCGGTGCCGAAGTGGGGGAGGGACGAGGGGGGGGGATGCCGGGCGAGACGCGGGGCGCTGCGGATGCACAGCGGGGACAACACAGGTCAGGCAGGCTAGGGGGGGGGGGATGAACCGCAAAGAGCGAGAAAGCCGACGGTGAATACGCGGAGCTGGCACCGTGAAATCGACGACTTCGTGATGCTCACCAGAACGAAGGTCATGAATCGTGCTCCCCACAATGCTGTGGCAGTGTTCAAGGTAGCTCTCCTGCCCAACCTCCCATCATGGTGCAACTCATAAGCCAGGCGACGACCGAGGGTGGCAGGCTTGTGACTAGACCACCTCACACGTGCAGCACATGCATCTGCATTATCGATGCGGCCATGCATGCCGGCAAGGTGAATCAATACTAAACCCAAAATGCCTTCGAGATTCTTCGAGGCCAACGCACCAGAGGCTCTGTACTGGGACCCTCGCGTGCGGCCTCGGTCTACCGACTATGGCTGGCACGTGGACGCACCGCCACGGCGCTGCCCGCGCCCAGCGTGAACGCCGTGATCGGCAGAGTGCGAGGCGGCCGACTCTGCGAAAGGCGCACGGCAGACTCCAAGAGTATCCCAGACACTGCCGCTGCGGCACTTCGCAACCGCAACCCCCGGGACACCACATGTAGCCCACCGCCACCTCCAAATCCGTCCTGGTCTTGCCACCTAGCCCCTCCCACGTCCTGCCTCCTCCTCCTCCTGCCCCTCCTCCTCCTCCTCTTCCTCCTCCTCCTCCTCCTGCTCTGTATAGTCCTCCTGGGTACGTTGTCGAACGCGCAGGGCTTGCCAGCAGGCCATCCCAATCCCATCTCCGCGAGACCCCAGAGCTAGCCCCGAGGGCCCACGACTGAACTTCTCGCCATGCTCGTGCCCTCGCCCCCTCGGAACCGTCCGTGCCCGTGCCCTGAGGCACGCTCAGGAGCGGCAGACCGCCGAGTGGTGTCGGGTAGCCTGCCTGTACTCTTCCAAGGGATGGCACCCCTACAGTCGGGGATGTTGACCTAGGGAACCCTAGATGAGGAACAAGGCCCCTTCTTCCATACGTCCGACTTCGATTACCCATCGAAGACCTAAGGAACACCTGAAGCCAACTGCAAAACACTGAAGGAATACGGAGCCCTTCCAAACGGAAAATGGTTCCTCCTTGGGCGCCCCGAGTGTACATGCGCTTCTGCTGGCCCTTCCTTCGTAAAACCTACCCTGGACCCACTCTGCCCGGGCCACGATCCCTTGACGCAGGCGATGGGCCCGCGCTAACGAGCTTCCAAGACGGCCGAGGAAGGCAACCAGAGCCGCCGAGATGGCCCACGATGCCTCCAAGAGGACCCAAGATGGCCCCAAGGCTGCCAAAGATGGCATCTAGACGGCCCAAGAGGCCAACAAGACGGCCCAAGGGAGCCACAAGAGCACTCCCAGCAGGGCCCGAACAGGCAAACCGTCCCCGCAGGTTTTTCAAACACATGGCCGTGCTCACACTTTCGGCATTTCATCCACCACTTCAGACGGTTCTAGGGGCCTCCGAGATGGCCCAAAGACTACCCAAGAGGGCCCCCAAATGGCTCAAATCCTCCGAGACAGCTTACAGCCGAAGAGGGCCCCTAGACGGCCCCAGGAGGGCCCCAAACTGGCCCGAGAAGGCTTCGAGAGGGACCCAATAGAGAGCCCCTCGACGATTCAAGATTTCCCGCGACGGCCGCAAGAGACCCCCAGGCTGCCAGGAGGGCCCAAAGACGGCCCAAGAGCGCCCCAATACAGCCCAAGAGGACCCAAAACGACCCAGAATTGCCCAAAGGACCCCCGAGACTGCCCCCACAGGAGCCCAAGGAATGAAGGAAACGAACAGAAAATCCCCGACACGACGCAAGGTGTCACATCTTACATCTCGCCCAAACGTCTGGACACGAGGCATCACACGTTACGGCCCCCTGTGAGTCCCCCGAACAGTCGCCACCCAAGGTGCTGGCCTGGCACGATGGTTGGACATGCCACAGGCAACTGTATAAAACCACGCTTCGGCCCAGAGTCGTCCCACTAAATCTGCGTGGCCAAATACTCCAGGCTTCGTAATAAAAGGGAGGGGGTCTGGACCCTCCAAGACAAGCCATTTCAGACCCCCCCCGTGGGAGAACCCTCCAAAACATCGTCCCCAGAACCCCCCAGGCCCTCCAAGATAGCCTGGAAGAGACCCCCCCCCGAAATGAGACCCCCCTACCTTTATTACGAAATCTGGAATATGTTTCTCGAATCCTTCACGCCATACCGTCAAGCACTTCGAGAAATCACGCCATAACGATCAGCAGTTCTGGGAATCCAGCCGTGGCGGCAGAGGGTGCCCTTTGGAGGGTCCAACGAGCTGCTCACGACGGGAGGCCCTTTGGAAATGATGCACAAAAGACAAGCCACGGAGCAGAGGAAAGAAGCATAGAGGAGACCACGCAACTGCCGTGAAGAGCCCACTCGTGCGAGCGAACGCGCCCGAGGAGGAGGCAGCGACGCCGCAACCTCATGACAAGAGAGCGTCTCTGATTCTTCTGATGGCGAAAACTCACGTTATCCAGTGGGGGGCTTAACCTATTCGCTTTGGGCACCCGCACGTATGCCCGCGCGCACCAATACTGCGCACCCACTTCGGATCTGTTCCACCGACAGGGTCAAGCTATCCTGGGGTGGGAGGGGGGGGGGCGGGGGGCCGGGCGGGCCCGATAATGACCCGAGCTATCGCCACGCGCCAGACCCTCAAGCAAACAATCTCCAGCCGACCGAACAGGACCGACCCGACGCAACCGACTGCGACGCAGCCGAACCAACCGAAACTCGGTCGGTTCGGACCGCGGACTGGACCCTCGCGCGCAGCTGTGGGTCTGACACCCGCCAGGCGGGCCGTTTCAGACCCCCCCCCCAAAAAAACAGCCATGAAAGGGCAGCGTCGTGCCCCAACCCCCCGAGACCTCCAAGACAGCTCACATCAGACCCCCCACACATCAGACCTTCTCCGCTGCATTACAAAGTGGGGAGAAGGTCTTTGACGATCCTGGGACCCGAAAACGGCCTCCAGGGTCTGAGCACGGCGGGAAAAGAAGAACACATCTTGACGCTTCGAGACGCTGGATGTCCGGGCACTTCGCCCCATCGAGCGTGGAAAACTGCCTGCGTGTTTGGCTCCTCCTCAGTCGCTCTCGCCCCGAGTCGTTGTGTTCGCGGTCCCGCGGCTCCAGGCCGAACGCGGCGAAAACCCCTCCGCATTGTTTTGATCGGCGCATCACGTTGGAGGCCTGGGCACGATGCGGACTCGAGGGGCAATGGCAGGGGGGGCCCAGCTCAGGGAGGAAACATCGAAGCTCGAATCGGCGATGCGTCGCCGATGGATCGGCGAGAGGCCCCCGACAGCGACTCTGCACGCTCCTGGGCGGGATGGGCTATGAGGCCCCTATTGGCGATGAATGGGCGACTTTCGAGTCATAGCTCGGGCCGCTAGCGGCCGTTCGGGACGATCCGGGCACCCCCAGGAACCCCTCGGCGAAGGGCAGCTGGTGGACAGCATCCCGAGGCAGGAAGACCTTGAGGAACCGACGAAAGCGCCCGATAACCTAGAACCTCGAACCTCGAGACCGTCGTCCCCCCTGAGCCGATCGGCCCAAATTGGGGGCAACGAACGTCGCAGCAAACGCCAGAAGAGCGCTCCCGACTACAACCAGTTACACCCAGCTGCACCGAATTACCAGTTCCTCCCTCTCACACCTAGTCACTAGTCACACCCACCTACACCTGCTTACAGGCAGTTTCACAGAATTCCACCGACTTGCCACTCGTTGCAGTCACATGCAACAAATGCGCTTTGAACGGGTACGCAGTGAGGGAGGAAAACGAGTAGGAAGAGGAGGAGGAGGAGGAGGAGGAGGAGGAGGGCGAGGAGAGGGAGGAGGGGGAGGAGGAGGAGGGGAGGGGGAGGAGGAGGAGGAGGAGGAGGAGGAGGAGGAGGAGGAGGAGGAGGAGGAGGAGGAGGAAGGGGAGGAGGAGGAGGAGGAGGAGGAGGCGGAGGAAGAGTATGAGGAGGAGGAGGAGGAGGAGGAGGAGAAGGAGGAAGAGGAGGAGGATGAGGATGGAGGAGAGGAGGAGGAGGACGAGGAAGGGGAGGAGGAGGGAGGAGGAGGAGGGAGGGAAGAGGAGAAGAGGAAGGGATGAATATTAGGAGGAGGAGACGGGCTCGGCGCGCCGTCCGTCGGCGCCCCAGAGCCCTCACTGAAAGGGTTCGCTGAAAGGAGGAGGACGGAGGAGGAGGAGCAGGGGGAGGGGAGGGGGAGGAGGAAGGAAGGAGAGGAGGAGGAGGAGGAGGAGGAGAAGGAGGAGGAGGAGGAGGAGGGGAGAGGAGGAGGAGGAGGAGGAGGAGGAGGAGGGGGAGGAGGAGGAGGAGGAGGAGGAGGAGAATCCGGATGGGACTGCAAGCATCCCTCTCCTCGGAAACCCCTGGGGAAATTCTGCACGTTGTGCCCCTAACGTTGCCCCGAAGCCTGTGCCGCTGGCGGGGCAGCCCCGGGGTCCTCCACCGCCGGGGTGACTCTCAGGAGGTGGCGGCACAGGTCGGACACCGACGCCAGCGGCTCCACCTCCCCACCCCACCCAGAGTGGCCCTCTCGGCTCCCAGCGCGCGCCAGAGCACGGGGGAAGAGGAGAACGAGGAGGATTAGCGAGGATTACCGCAGCAAGGTCACCCGAGAGGAGACCGCTTCCCTCACCCAAGGCCGATCCTGGGCGGTACTGGGGGGGGGGGGTCAGATCAAAACGGCCTGTTCGTGGTGGGGTGTTTACCTTGCCACAAACGGGTAAGACGTCCAGAGATCTTCTGAGGGCTTCCCCCAGGACACCCGGCAAAAAGACCTATCAATCGGTCAGTGGAGTACCGAGCACACACCCAGCAGAATGCTACTCGAGGGGGGCGCACCACTTGGTGGCCTCTGGCGCGGGCCCGAAGAGGAGGAGGAGGACGAGGAGCAGGTGGAGGAGGAGGAGGAGGAGGAGGAAGAGGAGAAGCAGGAGGAGGAGGAGGGGGAGGGGAAGGAGGAGGAGGAGGAGGAGGAGGAGGAGGAGGAGGAGGAGGAGGGGGAGGAGGACGTGGAGGAGCAGCAGGAGGGGAGGAGGAGGACGTGGAGGAGCAGCAGGAGGGGAAGGGGCAGAGAGCGCGGCGAGGCAGGGCAGCAAGCAGCTCCGAGAGAAGCACCACAAAACTCTCCCGGAGCCAGCCGGCTGCGCGCGTCAAGCCCTGCGCGGTGCGCGACGGCCCGCGCGCTCTTCGCGCCCGCAAAAGAGGTCCTGGGCAAAGCCGCCCGCCCGGGAGGACGGGCGGCCGCCCGGGCCCAGACCGCGGCCCGCGCAGATTTGGACGCTCGAGATGGGTCTGCGCCAGACCCCCCTCCCTGGCGCGCGGAGCGCACCAGGGGCGGCGCTGGAGGCGCCGCGGGGGGGTGCCCAGCGCGGATCCAAGAGATCCGCGCGGAGCGCCAAAAGCTTATGCTTATGGCGTTTCTTCTTCTTCGACGGGGGTAAGGTCGCGGGTTTGGACGCCCGAAATGGGCACGGAAAGAATGGGTACCATGCCCAACAACAGATGTTGTCCCAAACCAACAGCGGCCGCTGTTGGGCAGGCGGCCTTCTGTCTCGAGTGGACACAGGCCGCGGCGGCGTGGACAGCGAGTCCTGTTCAGAATGAACAGGTACTGCTCTTAGGCATTGTACCCATTCTTTCCGTGCCCATTTCGGGCGTCCAAAGCAGAGCGATCATCTTCGCGCCCAGGGCCCGGAGGGCAAAGTCGCTCTGAACAAGGGAAAGGCGCCCCTCCCCGCCGCCGGGGAAGCCCGAGCCGAACTGGAGTCGAGCTGGGAGTCGAGACCAGCTCGAGCCGAGCTCGAGTCGAACCAGACTCGCACCAGAAAGCAGCCAGACTCGAAGAAGGGTCGAGCAGATCCGTCAGGTGGCCCCCTTATGAAGTTGCCCGAAACAAATAAATGGCTCTCTGGAAGCCCCCCCCCACCTGGGAAATGAGTCGAGGAAGTGGCTCCGTTCCCCACATTATGCAATTGGACATGAGTGGAGGAGGAGTCGAGGACATGCATCGTTGCATGTCCCCCCACATGGGAAAAGAGATGGTTCAAGCCCCCCCCCACCCAACCAGGAAAATCTTTGCCCCGCCGGCCGACCGCGCGCCCCCTCTACGTGAAGAGGGGTGCCGTGTCCTGCGGGGCCTCGCGGATCGCCCGTCCCCACCCAGACGGGGCACGCTGGGAGAGCTGACCTGCCCTGTCCTCGTGGGGGGGCTCTGGCCACGCTGAGCAGCATCAGTCCGTGCCAGGCTGGTTGGGCGACCCATCGGCGCGTCGCTGGTGAAGAATTATGAAGGGGCCCTGAGACACACAAATCCGCCGGCCCCCTTGTGGGGCCACCAGGCTGTAGGCCCGTGATTCGCAGTTTCCTGTACCAGTTGTAGTTTGTAGTTTCCAGTGTTACAGTTCTGCTTCTTGCTGGTTACTGTAACTAGTTGATTGACCGCGCGAGGGGAGGGAGGCCCAAACCAGATTTTTAGCACCACCTGGGCGCGTTGTCTGAATTGCTGGGGGGGCTCAAAATCGACACCCCTCACGCAGATCCGCGGGGTCAGGGTCCAAAAACACATGGGATTTGCCACATTTCTGAAATTCGGTGCCACCCCTCACGCAGATCCGCGGAGTCAGGGTCCAAAAACACAGGGGATTTGCCACATTTCTGAAATTCGGTGCCACCCCTCACGCAGATACGCGGAGTCAGGGTCCAAAAACACAGGGGATTTGCCACATTTCTGAAATTCGGTGCCACCCCTTACGCAGATCCGCGGGGTCAGGGTCCAAAAACACAGGAGATTTGCCACATTTCTGAAATTCGGTGCCACCCCTCACGCAGATCCGCGGGGTCAGGGTCCAAAAACAAAGGGGATTTGCTACATTTCTGAAATTCGGTGCCACCCCTCACGCAGATCCGCGGGGTCAGGGTCCAAAACCTGCTCTTCCATGGCCCATTCTCCGAGAGAGGGGGCCGGCGGCAGGGGGCGAAGCCCTTACGGATAAATACAAACAAATAAAACGAGTCCCCATATTTTCTGGGTTTCTGTCTTCCCCCCCACTTCCCATAGTTTCCCATATTTTCTGGGAATCGACGATGAATTGTGTCTGTGTGTTTTTCCCCTCCTGAAATTACCAGGCCTCTGCACTCAGGCGCACGAGCAACGCGCACACACACACACACACAGCTCGAGAGCCCGCGCGCGCGCCACTGATACCTGATACTCCTTCATCCCTCCAAGGGAAGCAGAGAGAGTGGGGGGGGGAAGCCGGCTGGGCACCGAAGGGGCCAGGAAGGGGCAGAGAGAGGAGCGGGGGGCGAGGAGGAACGAAGATGCTGGGCACGCTCGACCTCTGGAGGCCTCTGGGAGCCCAGGGGGGACCTCCAAGAGCCTTCATGATATGGAGAGAGGGGAAGGGAAAGAGAGAGGGAGAGGGAGAGGGAGAGAGAGAGAGAGAAAGAGAGTAAGAAAGTAAGGAAAGGAATCGAAGTGCGCACGGGGTGAAGAGGTCACCGCACGCGCCAAGGAGGCACGCCTCTGAAAGATGTTGTCCCGGCACGCCTGTGCACGAGTTTGTCTGGGCTCGCCTGTGAAAGGGTGCGTCCCAGCGCGATTGAGTCTGTTCAATATGAGCCGCCTCGCCAGCAGTAGTGGCCATCAAGGAATGCTGTCGCAGCCAACAACAAAGCTGGCCTGCGTGAGCTCCTCCTCCTCCTCCTCCTCCTCCTCCTCCTCCTCCTCCTCCTCCTCCTCCTCCTGTCCCTCACTCAAGATGCAAGAATGACTGCTGTAAACTTACAAACTATCATCTTCTGTCTGCACAACCGCCGCAACCGCACCAGCGTAAGCGCGCTATGCTCTTGCTTTGCCCACGCGCTCTGGCGTATGGCATGGCTGAATGACTGCTAACCTCTGCCCGTGCCCGATGCCATCCATACCCACAGCCTCCTGGGGTCCTGAGACATGGTTTCCCGAGGCGGTCGATGTATTTTCTTCGAGGCCTCCCAAATTGAGACGGAGCAGATGGGATCAGAGTATCGCGCCGCATCGCCGATGCGTCGGCGATACGTCGGCGACTGTGGGACGGCGAAGAACGACACCATATCGCGCCGCCTTGTTGATGCATCGGCTATGCGGCGCGATTTCCCGACCCTATCTGGCGGAACGTGATGCTAGATTTGGCGCCAGGCCCCAGAACCGACGCTCGGGAACAGCAACTGGCCCACAGAGAAAAGGGAATGGGACTTCCTGGGGGCCCGCATCAAAACGACCGGCACACTGGATCCTCTGGGGCCATGCATACGCTCCAACCCCAGAGATGCTTCGGGTGCGCTGCAGAGAGGGCCAGAAAGAGGGCAGTTCGCGCATCCTGGCCTGAGGCACGTGAGCGGACGATCTTCGATCCCTCAAACCCAGACATCCGACGTTAGACGAAACAAACAACCTGCATTCACATTAACGAGCTCCGTGCGGATTCCTTGGATCTGCCCGACCCCCCCTCCCTGGCGCGCAGAGCGCGCCAGGGGCGACGTCGGAGGCGCCTCCAGGGGGCTGCAGCGCAGATCAAAGAAATCCGTTTATACAACAGTTACTCCTCGAAACATGGACCTCTGGAGGGCTCGACCTTTTCCCCTGGACAAAGCGTTTTGTCCCGTCCCGAGCAATGCTTTGACGGTCCCGTTGCCTGGATGCCGAAGACGACGAACAAAAAATGGCACCGTGACGCCGCCGACCGACAATTATTGAGGGTGGGGACTGGCCCAAGGGGGAACTATACCGTCGTCGAAGTTCCAGGTTTTCTGGCAGCGTCGTCGATTCTCAGCGCTTTGACAGCCTCGTGCTGGTCTCCAGCAGCTGCGCCTCGCCCAGGGCGTTCTGGTGGTGCCCAGAGCGTCTCGGACGGCCGCCAGAGAGCGGAGCTATGGTCCGAAAGCCAGGGGACTGGCTCGGGCGGGGAAACATCGAACGGGCGATACATCGCAGATCGATCGGCAATAGGCCCCCGATATGGAGAATCCGCACGTTTCTGGGCGGGGTGGGATATCGGGCCCGTCGGCGATCCATGGGCGAATGGGGGTCGCTGCACCCCCCCCTGAGACTGTCCCCTCTTCACGCTGACCCTGACCCGTGCAAGGGTGGTTGCTCCTCCGTCTGGCGCAAGGCAACACTTGGTCCAACAGCAGCGGCCTCATTCAAAAGCACGAACCCAGACTGGCGGCGCGCAGAAGAGGGTAGGGTGAGGGGGAAGGTTTCTTAGGAGGCTGCTTCTTAGAGGGCGCCAGCCTCACATCTACAGACGAGGCCCGCGCCGTCTAAGAGGCAGGGGCCGCCCCCTTAGCATAGGGGGAAAAACGTGCCCCGAGGGAAACGGGTCCAGGACCCTGGTACGCAGAAAGCATCTATACACCACCACCGTGCCAGGCCAGGGCCATCCTGGGCCCTGGGATGTTGTATACGCCCTCCTGGCCGAGCCAGGAGGGTCTATACACCATCCTGGGGCCGAGGATGGCCCTGGCCTGGCACGGTGGTGGCGTATAGATGCCTTCGCTGGACCCTGGGGCCTTCACCCAGGGCTACTTGCTCCTCCCGCGCCGTCTTCTGCCGGTCCCGTGGCCCGACGAGGGCCCCGAGAGCCCGCTGACGGCCCTCCCCCTCCTCAATCCTCCTCTCATCCTCCTCCTCCTCCTCCTCCTCCTCCCTCCTCTCCTCCTTCAATCCTCCTCCAATCCTCCTCCTCCTCCTCCTCCTCCCTCCTCCTCAATCCTCCTCCTCCTCGTCGTCCTCCTCCTCAATCCTCCCCCTCCTCCTCCTCCTCCTCCTCCTCCTCCTCCTCCTCCTCCTCCGCCCCGACTTGGCCCGACTCGGGGCCCTTCTCCCATCAGGACTCGCTGCTCCCCCGGCGAGCCCCGCCCCCACGAGCGGAGGAGCGGCAGGCGGCAGGAGGCCAAACTCTCGGAGACCGGCGCGGATGTCTGTATTCGGTCGGGGCCGGCCCCCCTCCCCTGGCACGCTGCGCTCGTCAAGGGCGGCGCAGGAGGCTCGTCGAGCCACCTACGGCAGTGCACTGCACTCCGCGGGGCGTCCTTCTCGCCCTCTGATCGCCATGATCGTGTTCTCGGGATCCCTCTTGATCCCTGCAACCCATCTTCGCTGGCCACCCCTCCCTGGCGCGCGGAGCGCGCCAGGGGCGGCGCTGGAGGCGCCGCCAGTGGGGGACCCAGTGCGGATTCAAGACATTCGGGCGGAACTCCGAAAGTGCATGTTATGCCGCCACTTGTTCTCCTCCTCCCCTCCTCCTCCTCCTCCTCCTCCTCCTCAATCTCCTCTCATCCCCTCCTTCCTCCTCCTCCTCTCCTCCTCCTCCTCCTCCTCCCCTCCCTCCTCCTCCTCCTCCTCCTCCTCCTCCTCCTCCTCCTCCTCCTCCTCCTCCTCCTCCTCCTCCTGCTTCTCCCGCGCCTCGACGAACGTTGCCCCCAAAGATTCTACGAAAGCAGATTCTGCGATGCCCCATGGGGGCGCCGTCAGCGCCAGCTGCGGCCCCAGCGCGGCGGGCGCAAAAGGCGTCGGTCGGCCCAGCGTCTCCACCGGCCTCAGCCTCGCCTGGACGGGGTCGACCAGGGCCTCGCCGCGGCGTTTTTCCTCCTCACCCTCGTCCTCGTCCTCGTTCTCGTCGTCCTCCTCCTCCTCCTCCTCCTCCTCCTCCTCCTCCCTCCTCCTGCCTGCTCCTTTTTCCTCCTCCTCCACCCTCTCCTCCTCCTCCTCTCCTCCTCCTCCTCCCTCCTCATAATCATCATCATCATTCATTCATCCATCATCATCATTCATCATCATCATCATCATCATCACATCATCATCATCATCCTCATCATCATCATCAAGCACCACCATCATTATCATCTCATCATCAGCAGCATCATCATAGCATCATCATCATATCATCATCATCAGTCATCATCATCATCATCATCATCATCACTTCATCATTATCATCATCACCATCACCATCACCATCACCATCACATCACCATCATTCATCACCACCATCACCATCACCATCACCACATCATCATCATCATCATCATCATCATCATCATCATCATCATCATCATCATCATCATCATCATCATCATCATCATCAAAATCACCATCACCATCACCATCACCATCATCATCATCATCATCATCATCATCATCATCATCATCATCATCATCATCATTATCAGCATCATCATCATCAGCAGCATCATCAGCAGCATCATCATCAGCAGCATCAGTATGATCAGCAGCAGCAGCAGCAACGGCAGCAGCGGCAGCATCATCATCAGCAGCATCAGCAACATCTTCATCAGTTTCATCATCAGCATCATCATCATCATCATCCTTCTCCTCCTCCTCGTCCTCACCTCCTCCTCCCTCTCCTCCCCCTCATATTCCTCCTCAGCCCTCCTCCCTCTCCTCTTCCAACTCCTCCTTCTCCGCCGAAGGTCCGGAAAAAAAAAAAAAAAAAAAAAAAAAAAAAAAAAAAAAAAAAAAAAAAAAAAAAAAAAAAAAAAAAAAAAAAAAAAAAAAAAAAAAAAAAAAAACTGAACTACAACCACAAACGCATTTAATAAGCACCCACCACTTTGTAACACAAAAAACTGTAGCGCACGAGACTGTCTGGGACATTGCTCACGTCGCGCCAGCGCGCACGTGCAACGACGCATGTTTATAAAAGGCGTTCTAAAATAAACTAAAAACTGAGTTATAAAAACTAAAGATGGTTTGCGAAACGACTCGTAAAAACGGAAGCGTCGTGGTTCGCAGTCGTCGCCGCGGGGGCCTGTCGACCGAGTCCAGAAGCACTCCGCAGATACACATATACATATGTAATTCCTGGTGGGTGTGGGGGAGGGCTGTTCTCACTCGATATCATTTTCCTTCTCCTCCTCCTCCCTCTCCTATGCCTCTCCTCTTTCTCGTCATGCTCCCTCTCTTCCCCCTCCTCTTCCTCCTCCTTTCCCTCCATCCCCCCCTGCCTCCTCCTCTGGAGGAACGAAGACGAAAACCAAGATCAAGACCATCGGAGTCGACAAAATCTCGCGACGTTTTGGTCATGGTCAACGCGTGTATTCCCTCGATCCTCCTCCTCCTCCTCCTCCTCCTCCTCCTCCTCTTTCCTCCTCCCCTCCTTCCTCCTCCTCCTCCTCCTCCTCCTCCTCCTCAATTCCGCCGACCCCTCGTGGGTCTCCAGGCGTGCGAGACTTCCCCCCCCCATAATCCCCCCCCAGAGCGCCCAAACCGGGATTTTGACCCCCCCCGGCCCCGGGTGGCCCCGGACCGAACGCGCCACAGGGCTCCAAAACTCACCAAACAGGTGCCAAAACTCTCCAAAAAGGTACCAAAACGCTCCCCGGACGGCCCCCGAGACCACGATTCGCCGACATAGCGCCCCCAGACGCCCACGATGGCCCCCACGCGGTCCCTGAAGCTATCGAGACGCCCCAAAAAGGTCCCTAAGATGCGCCCCGAGAGGGTCGCAAACTCCGCACGCTCGCCTACTCGGCAATCGCAGCGCCCACGACAAGCACAGACACCTTCAACGTCGCTCCCAGACGACCAAAGGGGCCCCAAAGCAGGGTCGCTGAGGGTCCAACAACAGCCCACGAAGCCCCAAAGACAGCCCAGGAGGGCCCCCAGACGGCTCCAACACGGAGTCCGCAGGGCACCTTTTTTCGAGCCTTCGGCTCTAAGACGCTCCCAGCCTGCTCCAAGAACACGCCAAAAGGGCCTGCGGGACCTCCCAGAAAACCTCCGAGGCCTCCAAGAAGCCACGAGGAAGTCCCCAAGAGGCCCCAAAACTACCTGCAAGACGACCCCGTCAGGCCTCGCACGAGATCTTCTTCACCATCCGTGTGGCCGCCTACCTGTATCCCGCGCAAGGTGGCGGGATGCGCCGCGTCCCATTCGACAACGACTCGTCCAGATTTTGGGCCGCCGCATGCCGTCTTTGGGCGCGGGTGTTGACAGGCATTTTCCCGAAGACCCTCCTCCGCCTCTCCCCCATCCTCGCCCTCTTCCTCCTCCACTTTCTCCTGTTTGGTACCATGTCACCATCTCCGTGTCTCACCATCAACAACATCACCACCAGCATCATCATCGCCATCACCCGCACCATGACCACCGCCATCACCATCACCACCACCACGGATGACCATCACCACCGCCACGGATCACTGCCTTGTCGCGTGTCTGGACACATGTGATGCAACCCGCATCCGCCAACCCCATTCGGGGCCTCCAGACGTGTAAGATTCGTCCCGTGGACGGCCCCACATGCCCCCGGACTCGTTCGGGGCGTTCGGGGATGGCCCCGAAGAGCCTCGAGCCCGCCCACCCAAAGAAACAAGACAACACAAGTACGCCCCAGGATAGCAACACGACATCCCCAAGCCGATCAAGGGGTCGGCGGATGTGGCGTAAGCCTATAGAATCTCCTCCTCCTCCTCCGAGCCCCCCTTTGCTCAGTGGAGCTATTTGCGGGCGCGCGTGGAGGGGGGGGCGCAGCCCGCAGGAGCCATGGAGAAGATAAGATGAAGGAGAAGCTCAGGAGGCCTTGAGCACTCTCACGAGCATTGCAACGTCAGTGGCGAAGTACATCGGTAAAGTTCGTCATCCCAGGCGTTGTGATAATCAAAACTTTGAGCATTCTCGCAAGCATTGCACCGTCAGTGGCGAAGTACATCGGCAAGTTCGTCATCATGGGCGTTATGATGAACAAGGCCCGCCAGAAGAAAACGACCAAGGCCAGGAATCATGGGATCTTCGGCAAGGTCGTCTTTGTGAAGGCGAACGCTCTCAAGAAGTACACCAACTAGCTGGGCTGAGAGGCTCGGCCCGTCGGTGGCGGCTGTGTCGGGCATTGGCCCTGCCTCGTCGCCACTGCTGGGCGCCTCGGTGTTCTGGCTTGTCCCTCGTCGCGTCGCCGCGGCTAGACTCGCCTCGGGCCGTTGGGCCGTTTTGGTTTTCATAGCGCGGGTCGCCCCTGTGCCTTCCTCGGCGCCCCGTCGGCGTGAGGTTCGGAAAATCGGCGCGGCGTAGGTCCGTGCCGCGGGCCTGTGTGCCAGGGCCTGGAAAACGCAGGCCGCCTCATCAGATCCCTCAGATCCCTCCTCCTCCTCCTCCTCCTCCTCCTCCGCCTCCTCCTCCTCGTCCACCTCCTCCTCCTCCTCCTCGTCCACCTCCTCCTCCTCCTCCTCTTCCTCCTCCTCCTCCTCCTCCTCCTTCTCCATCTCCTCCTCCTCATTCTCCTCCTTCTCCTCCTCCTCCCTCTCCCCCACCCTCCCACGCGTGTCCAGGCCACGTGGATCTGGGATCACTAGGGACCGTTTGCTTCCCCTGGAGATACGTAACGGGCGTGACCTTGGGGGGGCGGAGGGAGGGTGGGCGGAGGGCCCTGGCCACGTCACGATCCGCGCCGGCACCATCTAATCGATGCTCACGAACGGCTCATGCCCGAACGGCGCCAGCGCGCATCGTGCCGCGACCAGAGGCTCGGGGGACTCCAAAGGTGCCCCTGGCCCAGGGTGCCCCCAGCGTTTCTCGCTCCCTACCGGCGCCCCGGGGGGGGGGGGCCCCTGGGCCCCGCGGGGCGTGCTCTGGAGGCCGTGGGGGCCTCCGCGGGAAGTCCTGGGGCGCCTTCTCGCCATCGCTCGGACGTCCATTTCCTGTGTTTTTTTCGGTTTCGTGCGTGGCTTTTTCGCCAAATGATCAAGGATGCTCCTCGATGGTCCTCGCCGAAGGAAAGAAGCACACGTCCGAGCGATGCCGAGCCTTGGGCCAGGAGCACTCCACGGCAGCACTCGCGAGGCCGAGGCCCCGCGCCGCGGCCGCAGGCCGCGCCGCGGCCGCAGGCCGCGCCCGCCTCTCCGGAGGGGGCGCGCGGGCTGCCCGAGGCGGCCGCACAGCGCGTGGAGGGGCGGGTGCCGCTGCGGAGGCGGTGCCCGGTGCCTCTATGGAGCGCGGGCCTCGCCGCCGCGGGGCCGAGTTCGACGTAGCGGTGGCACTTTGCCATCGCTCGGGCGTCCATATTGCCCGTGCATGTGTCGGCTTCGTGCGTGTCTTTTCTTGTTGCTCGATGGTCCAGGATGGTCCTCGATGGTCCTCGCCGAGGAAAAATTCACACGTCCGAGCGATGCCGAGGGCAACAGCCGGCTCCCTGCCCTGTGGAGCAACGAAGTCGGTATACCTGTTGTGTGTTGTGTGTTGTGTGTTGTGTGCTGTGTGCTGTGTGCTGTGTGCTGTGTGCTATGTGCTGTGTGCTGTGTGCTGTGTGCTGTGTGCTGTGTGCTGTGTGCTGTGTGCTGTGTGCTGTGTGCTGTGTGCTGTGTGCTGTGTGCTGTGTGCTGTGTGCTGTGTGATGTGTGCTGTGTGATGTGTGTTGTGTGTTGTGTGTTGTGTGTTGTGTGTTGTGTGTTGTGTTGTGTGTTGTGTGTTGTGTGTTGTGTGTTGTGTGTTGTGTGTTGTGTGCGGTGTGTTGTGTGTTGTGTGCGGTGTGTTGTGTGTTGTGTGTTGTGTGTTGTGTGTTGTGTGTTGTGTGTTGTGTGTTGTGTGTTGTGTGTTGTGTGTTGTGTGTTGTGCATTGTGCATTGTGCATTGTGTATTATGTATTGTGTGTTGTGTATTGTGTATTGTGTATTGTGTATTGTGTTTTGTGTATTGTGTATTGTGTAGTGTGCATTGTGTATTGTGTATTGTGTATTGTGTATTGTGTAGTGTGTAGTGTGTATTGTGTAGTGTGTATTGTGTATTGTGTATTGTGTATTGTGTATTGTGTATTGTGTATTGTGCATTGTGTATTGTGTATTGTGTATTGTGTATTGTGTATTGTGTATTGTGTATTGTGTATTGTGTATTGTGTATTGTGTATTGTGTATTGTGTATTTTGTATTGTGTATTGTGTATTGTGTATTGTGTATTGTGTATTGTGTATTGTGTATTGTGTATTGTGTATTGTGTATTGTGTATTGTGTATTGTGTATTGTCTATTGTGTATTGTGTATTGTGTATTGTGTATTGTGTATTGTGTATTGTCTATTGTGTATTGTGTATTGTGTATTGTGTATTGTGTATTGTGTATTGTGTATTGTGTATTGTGTATTGTGTATTGTGTATTGTGTATTGTGTGTGCGGCCACGCCCTCTGGGCCTGGCCAGGAGGGGGCGTATGCACAGCTCCCGGGTTCAGGACGGGGGCCACATGCGAACCCTACCCCTACCCCCCACGATTTCTGAGGGGGAGGGTGGGATTCACTTCGTTCGGGAGCTCTCGAGCGAAGTGAACCCCACCCTCCCCCTCAGAAGTCGTGGGGGGTAGGGGTAGGGTTCGCATGTGGCCCCCTATTCAGGATGGGCCTGGCCAGAGAGCAATGAACATGTCTAGATTTCGTCGCCCGATGCCCCCGCCGCCCATCGAGCTCGTCGGATCCGCGTCGAATCCGCTCCGAATACACGTCAAATGCGCATCGAACCCGCGTCGGGCACAAGAAAGGACATCACTTCTGAGGACATCGTTGGTCGCGGGCCCGGCGAGCGCGCGGGTCGGTCGAGCGGCCCAAGGGCGCCGTGCAGCGAACTGCGCACCTCGAGGGGCAGGGACAACAACGGAGGCAGGGCGGCCGCGGAGGGGAGGAGCGGGCGAGGGACGAGGACCCAGCCCGTGGACACCTTCGTCGGCGCGCTGCGGCCCAGACTCGCACGAGTCCTTGAGGGAGGGACGTCGAGCTTCTCGCGTAGCCTCGTCTCTATCAGGGAGGCGTCGTGACCGACACTGTGCCCAAAGATGAGCCCGAGTGTGACCGAAACTGGCGCCCGAAGATTTCTGGCCGCGCCCGAGTGTAACCGAACTGTTGAGCTCGAAACCAAGACGATGTTCAATTTCGATTACTTCGGTCTCACTACGTGTTCGGTCACAACTCTGGGCACGTTTCCGGTCACCGATGTCGTCGACCACCTGCCTTTTCGGGGCCGGGTGCCACGAAGCTCTTGAGGGCGCACAAGACCCCCCGAAGATGTAACGTGATCCGCGTACAAACAAAAGCATCGGGTCTGCACGGTCCGCCCAGGCCGCGGGGAGGCCACGGGAGCGTCCGTCGGGCGGGCGGCGCTCCTGGCCTTCAGCCCGCGGTCCCTGCGGTGGTGCCACACAGCAAAGCCCTCGCCCGTGTCGACCACGGCCCGCAGCATCGCCACCTCGAGCAAGGGGGGGGGAGTCCCCTGATCGTATACAGTCAGCCCGTGTGCGAAGGACGCACGATACGGATGCAAGGGCCGTGGAAGATTGGAAGGCCATGCCGACACTTTGCCAGCCGGGCGCGGCCAGCGAAAGCGGCCAAGGATGGGCCGAAGGGGAAGGATGCAAGGGCAACCCTGCAAAGTCGCTCACCCTCAAAATGCGTGTTGAATGCATATATGTACCTTCGTACGAATGTATAGATTAATGCGCCCATATGTGCAGCTGTATGCAAATATGTGTGCACGTATACATCCATAACTATCTTTATACATATATATATATATATATGTATATATATGTGTGTATGCACGCACATGACGGAGGGAACGAATACGAACATCGAGTTCCGCCACTGGGGAAAATCACACCAGCCCTCTGGGAGTGTGCTTTCGAGCACTTCCTCTTCCAACCCCCTTTCTTCCCTTTCGGTGGGTTGTTTTTTTCCCTTCCTCATACCCCATCCCCTGGATCTGGACGAGGGGCGCCGCGACCGAGTGGAGCGACCAAGAAGGCCTCGACGAGAAGGCGAAAACTATGTATGTGTTGGTCCATGTGTGGCCTTCTTGGGGGGGGAGGCTAATTTGGGACCCCCCCCTTCTTGGATCGAACTCATCCATGATGGCCCAAAGATGGCCCCAAAGGCTCCCAGGAGTGCCCCAAGAGGGCCCCAAGAGTCGCCAAGGTTTTCCCACGAGGCCCCCAGCAGATCCCTGAGAGGCTCCCAAGAGAACCCCCAGAGGTCCCAAGAGGTTCACCAGATGCACCCAAGACGCTCCAAGGGGCCCCCAGGACGCCCCAAGGGGACCCCAAGAAGCTCTCCAGAGACATCCGAATAGACACCTAGACGCATCGAAGGGGCATCTGGCCTTTCTGCTCGCCCTCCTCCTCCTCCTCCTCCTCCTCCTCCTCCTCCTCCTCCGCCTCCTCCTCCTCAGCCGCCTTTTCCTGCTCGTCCCTCTTCCCCCCCCTCTACATCCCCCTCCTCCGATTCCTTGGGGCATGACGGCTTCCCCAAATCAGTATTCCATTGTATGCTCCTCCACATCCCGCGGGTCCCGAGGGGTGCGACCCTGATTGAAGGGGCCCTGGGACACCCAAATACATACACACAAATGACAGGATTCCCCATATTTTCCAATATGTTCTGGGTTTTTGTCGTCCTCCCCACTTCCCATATTTTCCCATGTTTTCCTGAGAGTCGACGATTAAGTGTGTATGTGTGTTTCCTCCCCTCCTGACCGATGCGTTGACAGAGGGCAGATCGCGCTGCCCCGGCCCGCGGGGCAGCACCTCGCGCGAGCATGCCCCGGCCAGAGGGGGCAGGACTTTCGAGCACAGAGCCTCTGACGCCCTCGGGGAGAGCGACCGCACATCGGGGCGAACCCACGCCAAGGGGAACGACACCAGCGCCCACATCTCGAAAGCAGGGCGCCACGGCGAGAGATCGGGGGGGGGAGGACGACCGGGGACGGATGACCGACACCCGGGAGTGGGGCGCGAACGGTGGCGCTTCCCGCCCCCAGAGCGGCCTGGACGCGACCAGCGCGCTGGAGCCGTCCGCGGGCCCTCTCGGCCCGCGTTCGCTCTCGCTGGCTCTCCTGGGGCTCACCAGGCACGGCCAGGGCAACCCTGACCTTCCAGAGTGCTAGAAAATAACCCTCCAGAAGAGACCTATCTGGGCTCGTCCGAAATGAAGATATCGAGGTCCTGGTGCTATTTCTTAGCCCTCCTGGAAGGTCAGGGAAGTGACACGCGGCAGGCAGCTGCGAGGCACGCCTGCACGCTTGGGCGGCGCGCCCAGGGCGGAGCTCGGCGAGGTGCAGCTGCTGGAGAGCATCCCGAGGCTGGAGAATCTCCAGGAGCCAACGAGAACGTGTGCAAGCCCTCCCCCTGGGCCCGAACGTCGCCCGACAGCCAGCGGTGGGCCCGGCGACAACTCTGGATGCCCGAAGTGGGTACGCGCAACTAGGCACGACACCCAAGCACGAACGTTGACCCAAAGCGAGGGCGGCCGCTGCTGAACATGCTCCTCCCTGCCTGCAACGGACCACGTCCGCCGCGACGCCGCCGGCGAGCCCTGTTCCAAAGGGGCGAGGCCTGCGGCCGGTCTTCGCGCCCGCTCGGATATCCGCGAAGCCGCTCCGACCGTGCCAGCCTCTGCGCCCGCTCCATCCGCAGAGCCGCTCCGACCTCCTCCTCCTCCTCCTCCTCCCTCCTCCTCCTCCTCCTCTCCTCCTCCTCCTCCTCCTCCTCCTCCTCCTCCTCCTCCTCCCCCTCCTCTCCTCCTCCTCATCCTCCTCCTCCTCCTCCTCCTCCTCCTCCTCCTCCTCCTCTTCCTCTCTCCTCCTCTTTTTCCTCGTCATCCTCCTCGTCCTCTTCCTCCCCCTCCTCCTCCTCCTCCTCTTCCTCCTCCTCCTTCTCCTGCTCCTCCTCCTTCTCCTGCTCCTCCAGAGCGGCGGGGGCGGCCACCAACGACGCGGCCGCGCCGCTGGGCCGCTGGGCCGGCGCCGGCGGCGGGCCGACGAAGGCGTCGAGGAAGCAGGTCCACCGCTCCTGCGCGCAGTGGGCCGCCGAGGTGGGCCCCCGCGCAGCCCCGGGGGTCGACGACGGAGCAGCGGCGAGGCTCGGCGGTCGATCGATAGGGCGACAAAACGACGACGAAACGACGAAGACGATCGACCGACGACGACACGACGACAAAACGGCGACGACGACAACTAAATGACGACGAAGTGACGAAGACGATCGACCGAGGAAGCGACGACGACGACGACGACGACGCCGCCGCCGCCGCCGCCGCCGCCGCCGACAAAACGACGACGACGACGACGACGGCGTTCTCCCTGCCCTCCCTGAGGTGCAGCGATAGTCGGCGGCGCGCCGTGGAGTGAAGGGAAATAGAGGGCAGGCCTGCTCAGAAGGCGGCAAGGGCTTCTCGGAAGCACTCTCTGGCCTTCTGCCCAGGCCCCCTTCTGAGGAGGAGGGGGAGGAGGAGGAGAGAGGAGGAGGAGGAGGAGGAGGAGGAGGAGGAGGAGGAGGAGGAGGAGGAGGACGCGAGGAGGAGAGAGGAGAGGATGAGGAGGAGGAGGAAGATGGGGGAGGAAGGGTGGGAAAGGGGGGGGGGGGGGGGAGAGTGAGGAGTCCCCTCCCCCCCCCCGGTGGCGCCGCCGAGCAGAGGGAAGACCGCGCAGCATGAGCAAAAACATTCAGAGGTCCGCGCGGACTCTTCGGATCGGCGCCTCCTCCTCCTCCTCCTCCTCCCCTCGTCCTCTCGTCCCTCCTCCTCCTCCTCCGCCTCCTCCTCCATGAGCAGAAACTCGTACTCGCGCTGGAACCCCAAGAGGCACAGCCCGGCGCGTCGTCGACCCCGCCGCTCCGGATGCAGAAAACCCCCCGTGGCAAGCGCTCGCGCGGGTGCCACCACTTGGTTGGCGGCAGGGCGCAGAAGGGGGTAGGGGGAGAGGGGGAAAGGCTTCTTAGAAGGAGGCTGCTTCTTAGAAAGCGCAACTCTTGCATTTACAGGCAAGGCCCGCGCCTTCTAAGAAGCAGGGGTGCTCCTAAGAAGCCTTCCCCCCTCCCCCATACCCCCTCCTGCGCGCGGCCGAACTTCGACAGCGCAGGCACCACGAGCATCCGCTGGAGCTGCACGCCACCGCTGCTCCCGCGACCGAGGTCTGACTGCGGGACGGGAAAATGACCACAGCCACTGCTTCTTGCTTGCGCCGCCTTCCAGCCGGCCGAAAAAGAAGCAGTGGTTGTGGTCATTTCCCTGGTGCCGAGCTTAACGAAAATGGCCACAACCGCTGCTTTGTTTCTGCTGGCTGGAAGGCTGCAACAATAGGAAAGCAGTGGCCGTGGTCGTTGTCACGCTCCGTACTGACAGGAGCCAGCCAGCAGCGGGGCCGACTCCAGGGTCAGAGGCGGCTCTGGTTGACTCCAGCAAGCTTACTCACTCGCATGCAGGGCGGAGAAGGGGGGGGGGCGGGCGGCAGGGCGAGGCCCGAAAACAAATCTGGATGTCACGCAAGCCGGACGCAACTCGCACGCCGCGTCGGCCCGGCACGGCTTGGAAAGGCGGCGAGGGTGAGGAATGCCATGCAGGCAAACTTGCCGGGCTCCAAAGCTAGGGGGCCACATGCGAACCCTACCCCTACCTCCCACGACTTCTGAGGGGGGGGGGTTCACCTCGTTCGGGAACTCCCGAGCGAAGTGAACCCCACCCTCCCCCCCAGAAACCGTGGGGAGTAGGGGTAAGGTTCGAATGTGGCCCCCTAAAAGTGGAACGCCCTCTTCTAGAGGGGGGGTGTAAGCACGCACGCAATCAGAGAGGAATCTCCTGCCGCGTGTGCCCAGGCACGCGTGATCTCTGGCTGCCTCCCCCCCGTCGCCGATCCCTCGGCCCGAGCCCTCACTCAAAGAAGCACGCCGCGGGAGCGCCAAAACCTACACGTCCGCATCCGCGCGGGGCGCCGAGATGCCCCCCCCCCCCCCCCAGGGGCGTGAGCGCCAAGACCTACATACGCATCCGCGCGGGGCGCCGAGAATGGGAACCGCGCGTATGTACACTCTGAGGTATCTGGGCCCTGGCCCATGGGGACTTCGCAGAAACGCAACATGGCGACCTGGTTATAGTGTGTAATTGTCGGGCCAGATCTCGGGGCAACAGGTGTTGATACACACACACAGAGATCTACCCATCTACATACACATACAGATATGCGCGCACACACACACACACACACACACACACACTACGTTTGAGTCGCTACTTACCACTGAGTGGTGGACAAACATAACGTATTATAGTAGACAAATTCCTGGCCCCGAGAGCTGCCCCCCTGGAAAGAAACCTGCCGCAGGAGCGCCACAAAACATACGCGTCCGCATCCGCGGGGGGAGGCCGAGATGCCTCCTGGCATGGGGATGCCGTCGGAGATGGCCTGACGCGGACTTCGCCCCATCGAGGATCGGCCCTGAGATCCGACGTGCTCAGTGCTGTCCCCGCGAGGAAAAAACCCTGACCCCTTCTCCCCGGAGCCCGCCTTCTCATCCCGAACCGGTCCTCGACGGCCCCGGGGCCCGAAAGCGGCCTCCGGAGCCAGAGAGACGCTCCAACAGAACTCCCACCCACCCCCTGGGGGCCCGAAAGCGGCCTCCGGAGCCAAAGAGACGCTCCAACAGAACCCCCGCCCCCCCCCCCGCTGGGAGCCCGAGAGCGGCCTCCGGAGCCAGGAGACGCTCCCACAAAACTCCCCCGGGAGCTGGCTCGGGACGAGGGGCTTCTGGGGAGTTCGCCGCATTCGGGATCGACGGGTCGAAGCTTCCAAACGTGTAGCTTGGCCCATCGTTGAGCAGGGACCGAGCGTCCCGGCATGCCTATAGTCCTACCACGAAATGTTCTTAGAACCCAGAAATGCTCTGATAACAAAAAACATTGTTCTTAGAACATAAACCCGATGTGTTGGAACAAGACAATACCAACCAGAAATGTTCTAAGAACATTTCGTGGAAACCACAAAAGGTTCTTAGAACACTGTTTGGCAGGGCTATAGGCGAGCCGGGACGCTTCGCCACTGCTTGACAACGGGAAGCCAACTGAGACAACGGCGGCTCCGCCGCCCGGCCAGAATGCAATCACTCTCGGCCCCCACCCTGGATCCAGGCTGACTGTTGATTTAGGGGGCCACATGCGAACCCTGCCCCTACCCCCCACGATTTCTGAGGGGGAGGGTGGGGTTCACTTCGCTCGGGAGCTCCCGAACGAAGTGGAATCCCCACCCTCCCCCTCAAATCGTGGGGGGTAGGGGTAGGTTCGCATGTGGCCCCCTAAATCAACAGTCAGCCTGGAATCGGCCATGTATCGCCGATACACCAGAGACATAGGCCCCCGATACCGAATCCGCACGTTCCTGGACGGGGTGGGGCGGGCTATCAGACACCCCGTCGACGATCAATGTGCAATTGTGGGATGCTGCCCAGACGTGCGTCGTCCTGACCAATCATCATGCGTTGGGTTTTCGTTTTGACTAGAGCACTGCGGTCGTACATCTCCTCTTTTCAATCCCTCCTCCACTTGCCTCCTCCTGTGCTGCTCTCTGGGAGGCTGCGAACTGCGCAACTGCCGCCACTGTCGTGGAATCCCGGTAGGCGCGGCGGAGCAGGGGAGTAAACGGATCCAGACCAGACCTCGCAGCTCCCTGAGGGGCTGCGAAATGCGCAGCCGTCGCCACGTTCGTGGGCTCCTGGAAAACGCGGCGGAGCGGTGAAGTAAACGGACCCAGCCTGGACCAGACCTGGCAGCTCCCTGGGGGGGCTCAGAACTGCAACTGTTGCCACGTTCGTGGGGTCCTGGGAGACGCGGCGGGGGGTCCGGGAAAAAACGGACCCAGACGAGACCTCGCAGCTCCCTGGAGCGCTGCGAACTGTTCAACCGTCGCAGCTTCCGTGGGCTCCTGGGAGGCACGGCGGCGCAGGGGAGTGAACGGACACAGACTAGACCTCGCAGCTCGGTGGGGGGCTGCGACCTGTGAAACTTTCGCCACTTTCGTGGGCTCTTGGGAGGCACGGCTGAGCAGGGGAGTAAATGGATGCAGACTAGAACTCGCAGCTCCCCGAGAGGCTATGAACTGCGAAACCGTCGCCACTCTCGCAGGCTCCTGGGAGGCACTGCGGAGATGAGGGTAGACCTGATCTTGCATATCTGGCGATACGTTCTTTCGAATCGAGCGTTCATACAAATATTCGCCTCACGTTGAGAAGGGGTTGGGTACGTCTCTGGCATGTTTTCAATACTGGGTCCCCGAAAATCCCGACCATTTCCCCAGGGCCGGTTTTTAGTCCTGAATCATGTTTGACATTCTGGGGGGCCAGCGGGGGCCCAAAGAGGCCCAGAACGGCCAAACACCTCCAATCGCGATTTTTGACGACGCGAGCATGTCTGGGTCGGGGTCGATGCATCCCCCCCTGAGCCCATCCCGCCCTCGTTACAGCCTCCTGGCTCCCGGGCCATAACTCAAACTACGGGCGGCCGCTCGGGACGATCCGGGCAACCGCGAGACGCCCTCGAGGATGCGCAACTGCTGGAGAGCATCCGGGGCCGGAAACCCGCCGAGACCCCACGAAAACGCCTGAGATTCTCGAGCCTCAAACCCGGTCCACCCCCCTCCCCAAGTCGCTGCCCCGAACCGGGTCGATGCGTTTCCCCCCAGAGCCTCAGATGCTCGTTCTGGGGGCCTTCCTGGAGCCACTCGCTCCACTCATGCGTCGATGCTGCGTCAAACGTCCACCGGCTTGAGTCGAACGTGAGTCGAACTTGAGTCGAGCTAGAGACGAACTAGAATCGAACTTGAGACGAACCAGATTCGAACCAGATCCGAACAGATCCGATTGGCGAGCCCCAGAAAACAAGCATCAAGTGAGCCTGTCGGCCCCTATCGTTGCGCCTGATCGCAGAGCTCTTGGCTCGGCTCTGATCACAAGAAACCCAACCCTGGGATCCCAGGACGTCCATTGATGCTTGGTGTGAGAACGTCACGCTCTCCATAGCGAAACCATCGAAAC